CATTCTTCCCAAGCACCTCAGCAGAGGGTGCGAAGTCATGCTGCTCCAGCACCCGCCACACACAGGTCTCGGCATCCCGGGCCCCAAGCCCAGAACCCTGCATGAGCCTCGGCGCCCTTCCTCCTGCCAGACCAGGTTCCAAGCCAGGAAGCCCCCGACTGTGCGTCCTCAGTCGCTAACAGTTACAGCACATTTAGGGGAATGCTGGGGGTGACTCCTGAGCTCCAGCACAGTGAGGCAGGCACAGGGGAAAGGCAAAGCTTTGGGGTAGAAGAAGGATTGCTTATCAACAAAAGGAAGCAACTCACATGCTGCAGTTCCTTCCAGCAGGCTCTTCTGCCAAGCCGGTGACAGGATGACAGGACGATTTGCCATCACATAACTCCTGAAGGGGTCCTGTGGCAGGCAGAGCAACAACCCCCCAAAGTGGCCAATGTCCTAATCCTCGGGACATATTAAGGTCTCCAGGCAACAGTTCCAATATGGGGAGAATGGTGTTCCCACCACCAAGCAGTTCTCCAGACACCCAGCTTGGGGTCCTACCATTCAACTCCATTCGGCACGGTCTCCCCGGAGGTAGCATCAGACCCCAGAGGTTAAGTGCATGATGGCCAAACCCCCTCCCAACTTCAGACACCAGTTGCAAGCCCAGCTTGTCCCCTGTGCTTCTGTCTGACCAGGTATAGATTGGAGGGTCCCACCACCCCTTCCTTGGGTTCAGTTAATTTGCTAGAGGCTCTTGGATCACAGAGAAGCATTTTCCTTACTAGAATGCCGGTTTATTATGAAGGGCTAGAACTCAGGAACAGCCAGGTGGAAGAGATGCAGAGGGTAAATCCATGTGGGAAGGAGCACAGAGCTTCCGTGGCCTCCAGGTGCACCACCCTCCCCAAACCCCCATGCGCTCACCAACAGGAAGCTCTCAGAACCCTGTCTTTTGGGGTTTTTATGGAGGGTTCATTACCCAGGCATGACTGATTAAGTCATTGGCCCTGGTGATGGGTTCGGCCTCCACCCCTTTTCCCTCCCTGGGGTGTGGGGGGCCTCCAATCACAGGGTTGGAGCCCTGGCAACCAGCCTCCATCCTTAGGTTACCTGGCGGCCTTCCTGGCCACTTCATTAGCATAACCAAAGACACATTTAGGGCTCTTATCACAGGCAATTCCATGGGTTTTATTTTTTTATTTTTTATTTTTTAAAGATTTTATTTATTTATTTGACAGACAGAGACACAGCGAGAGAGGGAACACAAGCAGGGGGAGTGGGAGAGGGAGAAGCAGGCTTCCCGCCGAGCAGGGAGACCGACCCCAGGACCCCGGGATCATGACCTGAGCCGAAGGCAGACGCCTAACGACTGAGCCCCCCAGGCGCCCCAATTCCATGGGTTTTAGGAGCTCTGTGCCAGGAAGAGAACGAAGACCAAATATATTTTCTTATTATAAACCACAATATCACACCATGGATATGTTTGGTCACATGACAAGCGGAAATCGAGTTGCTTATCAGCTGATAAAATAGAAGATGGGGGGGCCTAGCATAGTCGCAGGGGCCCTGGAGAGTGGGAAAGGTGTGGCTGAGAAGTGCGGGTGCCGGCCCCTCCGGAAGCTGGAAAGGCAAGGAATCAGGTCTCCCCTGGAGCCTCCCAACACCTTGAATCTCGCCTAGCGAGACCTGTGTCAGACTTCAGAACGATAGAAGTGTGCTCGTGTTGGTGAAACACTAAAAGGAGGAAATATGTTACTGCAGCAAGGGAGAACCAATAGAGGCGCCATGAGCAACTCTGACACCACCCCCTGCTGGGCACAGTGGCCACCAGCCCAAAGAACCACAGAACCACAGAACCAGGCCTCTGGCCTTAGATGCAGCTCTGAGCGCAGCCCGGAGACCTGGGTTGCGGGAATCCAAACACCCAGGCCAGAGGTCCCAAGGGTGTGAGATACGGCACTCAAAGCACCTGCCACATTTTAGAGCGGCCGCTGTGTCTCTCTGTGCGAATTTCATGGCTGCGTTCCTATGACCTTGTGGAGGATTATTTCCCCATTTGACAGATGGAAAAGGCAAACCTCAAGGACATCACATGACTTGCTTCTGATTATAAAAGAGACTGAGGGGGCGCCTGGGGGGCTCAGTCATTAAGCGTCTGCCTTCAGCTCAGGTCATGATCCCGGGGTCCTGGGATCCAGCGCCGCATCGGGCTCCCTGCTCAGCGGGAAGCCTGCTTCTCCCTCTCCCACTCCCCCTGCTTGTGTTCCCTCTCTCGCTGTGTCGCTCTCTATCAAATAAATAAAATCTTTTTTAAAAAATAATAAAAAATAAAAGAAACTGAGGTAACAGGTCTGTGACTCTAAATACTTGGTTCTTTTCCTACAGACAAGAAGGCTGTCAAAGTCATTTTAAAGGGATTTTTTTTTTATTTTAGGAGAAACATAAATTAAAACATTAAATTTTGAAAGAAAGTGGTAATTCCTCTAAATCGTTCCCAGCTGTGGGAGGAAGCGAGTGCTTAGCGGCAACCACACGGAAACAGAGCTACAAGTCTTTAAGGTGATCGGAAGACAGGGGTATGGATGAATAGAGAGGTTCACAAGCAGAATCGGGGCTGCAGCGTGAGGACCAATTTCCTAGTAATCCCTGGAAAATCTGTGGGCTAGAACAGGACTGGCACCCACATTCCCAAGCAAAGGCCCACCCTAAGTCTTTCAAAGACGCCTTTAAGGGTCTGCTGGGGCTTCGCTAAGCTGTGAATTCTCACGGTCTCATTTAATCCTCATGGAAACCCTAAGAGCTAGGCAATACTACTCACAGTGCAGGTGAAGCCTTGGAGCTCCGAGATGAAGACCTGGCAATGTGTCCAAGGTCACGCCATCTCTGCTCAGTAATGGGCAATCCTGTGTTTGAATCTAGACCATAGAACCTCAAAGTTATGAGCTTCCATTCTATTGCTTGGTCTGGAGTAGTATCCTATTTGTGTTTCCAAAAAAACAAAGAATATACAAAGAACTCATTAACTCAACAACAAGAAGACAATAAAGCATTTAAAAAGTGGGCAAATGGGGCTCCTGGGTGGCACAGTCAGTTAAGCACCCGACTCTTGGTTGATTTTGGCTCAGGTCATGATCAGGCCATGGCTCAGGGTCGTGGGAGCCTCGGGTGGGGATCTCAGTTCAGTGTCCAGTCTGCTTAAGACTGTCTCCCTCTGGGGCACCCGGGAGGCTCAGGCCGTTAAGCGTCTGCCTTGGGCTCAGGTCATGATCCCAGGGTCCTGAGATGGAGTCGGGCTCCCTCCTCAGCGGAGGGTCTGCTTCTCCCTCTCCCTCTACCCCTCCCCCCATTTGTGCTCTCTCTCAAATAAATAAATGAAATCTTAAAAAATTAAATTAAATTTTTAAAAAAACCACTGTCTCCCTCTCCCTGTACCCCTCCCCTCTTCTGCGCACATGCTCACTCTCTCAAATAAACCTTTAAAAATTTAATTAAAAATTTTTTTTAAAAAGTGGGCAATCTGATAGACATTTCTCCAAAGATACACAAATAGCCAAAAAAACACATGAAGACCCTCAACCTCTTCAGCCATCAGGAAATGCAAGTCAAGGCCATAAGGATACTAGTCAAACCCGCTCAGAGGGCTGTAACTAAAGAAACAGGTAAAGTAAGTGTCCAGGATACAGAGAAATGGAAACCTTCCCATTGCTGGTAGGAATGTAAATGTTGCAGCCCCTTTAACAGTTTGGGAGTTTCTCAAAAAGTTAAACAAAGAATTCCATATGACCCAGCAATTTCACTCCTAGTTGTCTACTCAAGATAAATTAAAACCTATGTCCACACAAAGACTTGTTCACAAATGTTGACAACAACACTGCTCATAGATTAGGCTGCAGCCGACGGAGGTAATTGTTAATGAGCACAAGGTTTCTTTCTGGGGTGGTGGAAATGTTCCAAAATTAGATTGTAATGGCTGAACCGTAAGTATACTAAATACCATTGAATTTTTAAAAGGTGAATTTTATGGTGCGTAAATTATATCTCAGTAAAGGTTTTCTAAGAAAGTCAAGATACATTTCCAGGAACGGCTGTGAGCAAGCTTTCTTTCGCCACCCCATCCCACAGAGCACCGCTCACACAGATGAAGCTGACGGGTGGCCAGGATCGACCCGTCCCCAAGGCTCATGTGTGAGGATTTAGGGCTTAGTGCGTGAGCCTCCGCAGCGCGTTTAGATTTTTTAAGCTAAAAAAAAAAAAAAAATGTGTAATGGCTTCGCAACGGGAGAAGCATTGCAGCGGCCTCTTCCAAGGTAAAGTGCCCCCAGTTCTGCAGAGATTAAGTCTCTGCTGCCCACTCCCACCCACCATCCCCACCAAAACTTTTGCAGACGCACCTGACGCAAGCAAGCGACTGCCCCGGGGATAACCGCGCGCTCTACCACCCCGGAGTGGAAATGGGGGTGCGGCTTCCACAGCGGCCTCCCAGCGCCCGGGTCTCGCCACCCCTCGCCCCGCAGCCTGGGGACCGGAACCGCCGCGCCGGACCGGCCCCGGGCCAGGCGAGTCCACCAGCCGCCCGCACGCAGAGCCTCCGCGCCCGGGCTGTGCGCTCCGCCTCCTCGCGGCCTGCGGGCCGGCGGGGCGGAGCCGGAAAGGAGGGGGGCGGCACGGGCGCCCGGGAGCGCCCCCTCTCCGTAGCCCCCACCCCCGGTCCGGCTGTCTGCGGCGAGCGCAGTGAGCGGACGCGGCGCGCCAGGCTCGTGGCGAAGCACAGGGGCGCTCGGCGAGGGTGCGGGAGTCTGTGCGACCGCGGGGACCCCGGGCCGGCACGTGCAGCGGCGGCTCCTCTCCGCCCCCCCCACCCCCCGCGCCCCGGGCGGAGGCGCCGACCCCGGCGGATCTGGGCGGGAGGCGCCAGCCGCCGAGGGAGGGGCGCGCCCAGGGTGGGCGGCCCGCAGTCGGTCCCCGGTCCGTCGCGGCGCCGTCCCGTGTCTCCCCGGCGAGGGTGGGCAGGGCTGTCCGGTTTCGGGGGGAAGAGCAGGACGCCCCGCGCCCGCCGCCCCGCAGAGCCCGGCCCCGGGCCCCACCCCGCCGGGCTGCGCGCCGGCCGGCCGGGGACGCGAAGCTGCCCCGGGGAATGAGGCGGCCGCGGCCCCTGGCGCCCCTCCGCGTGTGCGCCGCGCGCCTCGCCCGCCTGCCCCGCGGCCCCCCCCCCATGGCGGCCCGGTGGTTTAAGGAGTTCCCGCTGAACCTGAAGACGGCGTCCGAGCGCGCCCGGCCCGGTGGCGGCGGCGGCCGACTGCGCAAGAACTCGGAGGCGGGCGGCACCGGGCCGGCCCCGGGCAAGGGCCGCAAGAACTCGGCGGCTGAGCTGGGGAGCGGCAGGGCCGGCGTCGGCGCCCCCAGGGACAGCCGGCCGCCCCGGGACAGCCTGCAGGGCCTGATCCAGGCCGCCGCGGGCAAGGGCCGCAAGAACTCGCGGGCCGCCGAGGACGAGCCGCACCGGGGCGTGGCCAGAAGCGCGGGCTGCAGCACCTACATCAGCAGGCTCATCAAGGTGGACGCTCAGGAGAAGAATGGCAAGACCAGCACCAGCAGCACGAGCAGCTCCTCGTCGTCGAGCTCCGCGTCCTCCTCCCCTGCCTCGCTGGGCCCCGAGCTGGACAAGGGCAAGACGGTGAAGCCGCCGGACACGGTAAGGTGCAGCCTCCCGGGGCCGCCTGTCCAAAGCGGGGCGGAGAAGGGCGCATAGTGCACCTGCCCAGCCCGAGGCTGCTTTATGCATCAGGGAAGGTGGGGGTGCGCGTCCCTCCAACGTCTGGTGACAATTAAGGGACCATTTCACGTCATTACATTTGTTTTTTTGTTTTTTGGGTTTTTTTCATCTTGAAAAATCCTCATTCTAAGGATGGGGAACTTTTCGGAAACGTACTATGCATTTAATTTTGTTAGCCGTTTAGAAGAGTAATGAATGAGTCATTCCTGCTTTGTTAAATTTGACCTCCTTGTAAATGCGGTTTATTTTAATTTTGAAATCCAGGGGGATTGCCAAGCCAGATCTGTGTATACATTTATGCTTCTTGAGCAGAAGGAAAAGTATGGATTTCAGAGCCTCAGGGACCGGGTGGGACCCAGCCCCTCCTCCGCTAGGGTGGGAGTTCAAGCACCACTGCCCGGGCAGGTGCCCCCTCATGGCTGTCCCAGCCCCTCCGATCTGATCCGGGAACGTCTGTTGGGCAGTAGCCCAAGGAGAAACCGCCCAGGGCTCCAAGGGCTGCAGAGGGTACAGAATGGGACAAGGAAGTGCCCTTGAGGAAATCACAGATCAGGAGAGAAGGTGTTTCCTGCCACTTACACCCCAGAGGTTTTCTGGGTGCCGTCCAGTGCGAGGCAGTTAAGAAAAGGAGTGTGACCCTGTGAGGAGACCCACTCCGTCCTTACAGAGATAAGCTGGGTTTTGTTTGCTTGGTTTATTTTATTCTACTTTATTTTTTAAAGATTTTATTTATTTATTTGACAGAGAGAGGCACAACGAGAGAGGGAACACAAGCAGGAGGGTGGGAGAGGGAGGAGCAGGCTTCCCGCGGAGCAGGGAGCCCGATGCGCGGACCCCGGGACCATGACCTGAGCCGAAGGCAGAAGCTTAATGACTGAGCCCCCCAGGCGCCCCTGATTGCTTGTTTTTTAAACTTGCTCTTCTGGGTGAAGAAAGGGAGAGAGGAGCTGAGACGGAGCTTCCAGACCCCAGCCCAGGCTGTCACCTCCTGTCGTGGGATCTTCGGCTTTCTCTTGCTCAGGCTCCGAACACACTGCCTCCCTGGGTGTAGTCAGGAGCCCGCAGCACCTACCATGTGTGTCTGCACTGGGCCCTTCTGTTGATCCTCCACTCGTTCTTCCCACAAATCCTGACGGGGTGCCTGGGCTGTGCCGGCCCCGGGGTGGGGGGAGGTGGAGAGATGAGCAAGGGCCCAACTCGCCCAGAATCAGCCCATGGTCTCCCTAACTGACTCCATCTAAGCAGATCTAAGCACCTCGCAGCCAAGGGCTGAGTGCCGCGCCCCTCGTTCCTCTCTGTCCCTGCACACGTGGGGGGCAGTGAGAAGAATGGAGCTGGGGGTGCTCTGCAGTGGCCTCACTTCTGGGTGTCCTCCATTTCTTAGGCCGTCTCCTCCCAGGCAGGCTCCCCCCGCATGTCTCCCTGTTCGTCCGAATTTTCCCTACTGGCTCGGCCGATGCTTCTCTGCTTCTCCGGGAACCCTTTGGAGAGCGTAGTCAGACTGTAGCAGGACCTGGGGCTTCCTCCCGTGATTCTGATTCACATTCTCTGACTTTCGGTTCTTACTCCTGTCTTCCTCTTCAGCTGGAGTACCTAGTTTATACTATCCCAGCTGTTTATTGTCGAGACACACTGCTCTTGGGCAAGTATGTGCTTCAGTTCCCACAAAACTGTTCCCCCCTGAGAAGAGCCTGTCAAGCTCAGCTCCCGAACCCGCATTGTCACCCAGCAGCTGCAGAGTAGAACCGATCACACACACACCCTTTCCGGGCACCTTGGAAGATTCAATGCTTTCTGCCGCAAATACTGACCAAAACTCTGACTGTAGCCTGGGAGGATCTATCTGCCTGTGAATTATGGCACCTAGAACTCCCCCAGTGCTATTTAGTGCTGTCTTAGACTTCTTATGAAGCCTTTCCCTTTGGAGGGGTTGCAGATCCCTTGAGGACCAGAAGCAGCTTTGGTCTTAGGTTGATTCCCTCACAGTGTCTCGCCAGTGCTGGTGGACGCTCAGTAGGCACTGGGGGACCAACTGACTTGGGTCTATATTGCCCACCAGGTTGGCATTCAAAGGACCAACATTCCAGGGAAGGTGCTAGACCTGTTCATTTCATTCTGCTCTACAAAATGACCACCATCCTCCACTCCCGCCACACTGCCCCCCTCAAATGCATTACTGCTTGGGGAGAGAGCAGGCATGGAGAGATGCTGGGGGATGAACAGGACTCTGGGTGAATTGTTGCCAGTCAGTTAGACCACCAAGATAAATCAGATGTTTGTCCACCGGATTAATAATGGATAACGACACGATCCAGTGAGAACACCATGCAAAGGTGGTTGTGGAGATCCTGACTTCTTTTGAGTCTGCAGATTGTTAGTAGCCATTTTGATACCATGGCCATCCGGGTGTGTGATAACCCTGGCAGGTCTCCTCTCTGGTTCTTTTAAGGTCATCATTTTAGAAGACTATGCTGACCCTTATGATGCCAAAAGGACGAAAGGTCAAAGGGACGCAGAGAGAGCAGGAGAGAATGATGGCTACATGGAGCCCTACGACGCGCAGCAAATGATAACAGGTGTGTGACTGGGACGCCCGGGGGTGGAGTCTCACGCGCTGGCGGGGACAGGTGTTGCCCCGTGTATGTGGGGAAGAGCGATGACACGGCCTATTCAGACCTTGCTGACTGGAAGAAACAGAAATCAGACCCAAGAGTAAGGTCAAAATATCTAGTGACCTTCCTTTCTGGTTTTGTATCCTTTGGTGTTAGAATTTGCAGGATCTTTAAAGTTTTCCTAATTCTGTGCAAAATGACACTTGTGAGTTTGCAGACCTGCTTTAGAACGTGACCTTCAGGGTGGAGATTGTTTATATGCATTTCTTGGTTGCTTTGAAATCTCTTACGTCCGTAATAGGGGTTGTGAATCTGTACCAAGGGATTTCATGTTGTTAGAAGATGCGCACCTGACATGATCCTCTGTGTTACGGTGGAAAATTGACTTCTGAACAAGCTAGCTCTACCATACTGGAGCAAAAGAATTAATGACTAATCCCTGGTGTGAGCCAAGCCATGCCACGCAGACCTCCTAAAACCAAAGTCAACTGATCTTGTGACCTTTCAAGTTGGAACGGTTCTAGCTTCAGCAAAGCAATCACCCTCTCATTGTTAGTGTCAAACTTTTCCCTTTTATTCATAATTCTCTTAAGTTCGTGTAAATGATACTTCAAAATAACATGAACAAAGTTATTTAAATTTATTTGTGAAATTTGGATAAATAGTTTGTTCACCCAATTTTTTAAATGTTCTTTAATCCATAATGAAAAAATGCATTTCTGAGCGCTGACCCATGGCACCCTTGTCTGAGTGTTTCATGCCTGGGGAAGGCCTCATTGGCCACACGTTCCAGACTGTCTCCCCTGTTTGGAAACAGACTGAAAAACTCTCAGGCGTAGGACCCGCAGGCTGGTCTCAGAGGAGGTGAGCACAGGGGACTCGGCATCCTGGAAGGGTCAGGACAGGCTTCAGAATGAAAATGAGCTATCGCAGGAAAGGGGCGCCGTGTCCTGCTTCCCTGCTTCCAGAGATAAGGCCGCGCACGGGGGAGGGCGTACCCTGGCCAGGCCATGACCCTGAAGGTCACTGGACTGTGACCTCTAATGAAATCTGTGAATGAAAGGAAGTGAAAATGAACTTAGTCAGAACTTAAAAAAAAAAATACCAGAGGCTTGAAAGGAGTAGGGGAAAAGATTTACTTTTACATAAAATTGAGGGAAAAGATATTCTTTAAAAAAAAGATATTCTTTAAAAAAAAAAGATAATTTTGACTTATGTTTCTTTTGTCCTTTGGTTTTTATTCTCTTTCTCGTTAACCGGAATAAGTAATTTATCTACACTGTCCCAGCTGTTTATTTGTAGGGCCACATTGATAATAGGGAAGAAATGCCCTGCTTTCCCCGCACCCCACATGATCCCCACGAGACTCTGTGTGCTCGTGGACTTCAGTCCTCTCCCCTTGGTACAAAATCAGAGAGATTCTGACCTGCCTGTGCTCCTAGACTTTTTTAAGAGACAGCAGAAAGTAGGACCAAGATCTCCCCACTCCAGATTGGGTGGACACATTTGAAACGATGGATGCAAAAGCACTTTATATAAGGCATCTTTCCACCCAGACCCACCAGGAAAAATCAGACTTGTCCAACATGAGATAAATGTAATGATAATGGTTTTAATATTGGAGCATTTATTAAGTGCCAGTCTCCGTTTACAGTTTATGTGAATACATTTGTTTAAGAATATAAGATTAATGTATTCAATTGGAGAATAAATTCAAACTTATTAAACATTTAAGTTACTAACTTTTAAAAAATTGCCAGCTTATTTTGTCTTAAGAAAATCCATGGATTTTAAAGTCTCTTAAAACCTATATCAAAAAGCACCTTCTTGATCAGTGTGGAGAATACACCTCTAGTTCTCCCCGCGTGCCCACAGCTGGACAGAATAACAGGAAGTGAGTTGATCGGAAGCTGGAAATAAAAGATTTGCTGCTGGGGTTTTTTTGTTTTGTTTTTGTTTTTTTTAAACCTTCTACATTTTTTGTTCAGTTTGTTCCTTGTATGCTTGGTGGTCATGTCCCATTTAAGAAATGTTTATTTCTTGAAAACATTAGGGATTTTTCTTTAGTTTCGGCATTTCTCAGGAGATGGAGAGGCGCTAGTGAACACCAGCCCCTGCCCGGCCTCCTGGTCCCCGCACGGTGCGGGGAGCCCACCTGATTCAACACTGTTCGCGATGTTCTTTTATAACATCCAGCAAATTCTTCTTAGGTGTTTATTGACCATGTAGCAGGCCCTGTGCTGGGCTCTGGGCATCCAGGAAACAAGACCCACGTGACCCGTGTCCTCATGGACCGACCTTACAACCCAAGAGGCAAACAGACCTAACAGCAACAAACAAGAAAATATGTCCTTGAAAAGTGCAGCGAGTGCCGTGAAGTCAGGTTAAGAGTCACCGTCTGCGTGAGGAACAGAGGAAGAAACAGAAAAGGCATTTATGACTCTCCCATGGCCCAGTCAGTGTGGGACCCAGGCTCCCTGGATCCCCCCAAAACTTTGCTCTTAACTTTGAAAGCTAAGAATTTATAAGTTTATAAATTCTCCCTTAGATTTACCCAAAGGATGGTTCATAAAAAGATACAGGATTATGACTACAAGGCAGTATTAGTGTAAACCTCTCTGTTCTGCTAAAGGAGCAGGAACATTTTAGCTAAACCATTAGCAGAAACAGTCTCCCTAATTTAGCCTCAGGAGCTCCACAGGAAGGGTCTTCAGCGGTCCCGAGACCGCGTCACTCAGTAGGAAAGCTACTTCCAAAGCTGGTATCCTGTGAGTCGGCGCCAGGCTTACCAGCCACCTGACCAGACCCTGCAGCCCTGTGCAGGGGTGTTAGAAGCGCCTGGGCCGCAGTGAGGGCGCCCCAAGTTTGGACCCATTCCGCGCCGTGTCTGCATGGACGGCAGAGGCACCGGGGCCTTCCGCGTCCGCTTTTACTCGCCCGTATCTTGTCTCAGGTGGTTTTCAGTTTTATTTTTGCCTACAAAGGATTTTGTTGGCTTGTTCAAATAATCAAATCTAAAAGGAGAACCTCAGTGTTAGGGTGTCCATTTAAAAAATCCACTATGGAAAAAAATATAGAAGATTTTTTGATTTATCTATTGTGTCTATACTTTCCTTGTAAAACTTAAATTTCAGGGCTCCTGAATTATATCTGCTTTTGTTCAGATATTTAGATTTATTTGATAAGAAAATATTCAAGTCATTTTATTTATTTTTCAGAGAGAGCTGGGGGAGGGGCAGAGGGAGAGAGAATCTTAAGCAGCTCCCCGCTGAGCTTGGAGCCCAACACAGGGCTCGATCTCGCAACCCTGAGATCACCTGAGCCAAAAATCAGGAGTTGGATGCTTAACCGACAGAGCCATCCAGGCGCCCCTATTTGTCATTTTAAATCAAAAGCGAGAGTAGGAATGAAAGATATGACTAGAAACAGCCCTTTTCTGATTCTGAGGCAAAAACAGCCTACGAGTCTGCAAGTTTATCGTTTAGCAAGCGTTGTGAGATGGATGGGAAAGGTGCTCACAGAAACACGATTCGCATTCTGCGTGAACTCTGGGGCATCGAGGCAGTAAGCGACTCCCCTGACCGCACATGGCCTCGGTTTATTCACCTGTGAAAATGGGATCACGTGCTCCTCACTGCATTACACGGCTTCACGGAGATGCTGGGGTAACACGCCTAGTGCACGCGTGTCCCGTGCGTGTCGCCACTATTTAGATACGCCAGAGAGAATTGTGTTTTCAAAGAGAATTCCAGACGAGCGTGGAGGAACCGTGATTGCCGACCCAGTCAGCTTAGTGAAGGACGGGCTCCGTCTCGCGCGCGCTCGGGGCCGGGTGGGCCTGGCGGGCGGTGTTTATCTGCCCGCCGGCATTCTGTTGTCGCCGTGGTAAATGGCCTCTATCGGCAGAGCTGGGGCGTAGCTTCCTCTGGCCGTTTCCTCCTCCTCGGCCCGTTTCCTCCCGGAGCCAGGCCTGCACGTCAGGGGCTGTTCTCCCCCAGGAAGGTCGGCCCGCAGCTCCGCAGTTGTTTCTGTTTCTATGGCGCCGCAGGCTGGGGGCAGCCAGGTGCTGGTGGGGAGGCTGCTCCCTCGAAGGGGCGGAGGCCCGCGCTCAAGCCCTGGTTTCCCCTAATTAAACGTTGTTTTAAAGGTGATGATGCTCTGCAGATCCCGCCAATCCCAGGCCCGTCCTGGGGAGGAGCGCTGCTGGCCGCGTGCTCCCCGGGCTTTCCCCCAGCGCCGCCGCGGGCGCACAGACGGTCCCAAGCACCAGGAGGGCAGGCCCTCACCTCACGCGAACACACGTGTGGTAAGAATGTCGTACATCATTCCAACACACACGTTATTTCCTTGTGGGCAGGACTCCTGTGTCTTAAGGTTGGAATCCACTCTTGGTTTCCATCAGCTGGGACGGAGTTGAGGCGAGGACCGTGGGAAAGGTGACCCCCGCCTGCGCCAGGCCGTCCAAACCGTTTTGATCAGAAACGTACAGTTTCTAAGTTCACCCTTTGAATTCTTTTGTGTTTTCTCTTTCCTTTCTCTTAGCGCTACACAAACGTTCTTGTTAAGAGATTCCAGCCCTATCTTATTGAACCAGGAACAGAGCGTGTTTCTCGTTCCCGGTAACTTCGTCTAGAATAATGTAAAGGAGGCGTAGGATTGAAAGTCGAGAGGTGTGGACTGACAGGCAGCCTCCTGCCCCAAGCACCCTGCAGGGCCTCACACAGCCCCAGGCACCGTCCTGGACTGGGGGCGGGAGCTCCCGCACCTCGATGGGGCGGGTTCAGACCCAGGGAGAACCCCTCTCCTTGCCCCGGAGCTAGCAATGACGGGATGGCTGTGGAGGGCTGGAGGAGCTCAGACAGGGGCCCCGGGGACCAGGGAACGTGCAAGTGCTTCTCAGGCTTTGCTTCCCATGAGAGCCCCGTGCCCCAGACCAGCTAAATCGAGGGGGCTGGGCATCGGGTGCCTCCCCGACACTGTTCACGCCTGGTGTAGGGTCGGAGCCGGCTATGGTCAGGGCCCCATCCAGGATTAGAACCTAATCCTGAAACTGGTGTCACCCTTTTGAATTTAGTGTCCTGATTTTCCCACTTTCCCTTGAATGTTTCATCTGTTGCCCCTCCTCATGACAGAAGTCAGTAACTCCTCCCTAGTGTCACTGTGACATTTTACGTCACCAGCATTGTGGTCTTCCCACCCTCCCCCGCTCACCTTGCCGGCACCTCCGCCCGCCCCGAGCTGAAGCTGCCCCGCTCTGCCTTTGACCCTCTCCTTTTCTCTGCTGGTTGCTTTCAATTTCACAGACTAACACCTGTATTTATTTGTGGGTAGCTCTGTGGTGTGCACCCGTGACCTTCATCTCTCTGAGCCCCACATCCGCACAGCCGGGGGGCTCCTCCCTCCCTCCCCCACCGGCCGCCCAGTCAGTCTTAGCACGACTGTGTATCGCCTGAAGGTAAGACATGACATGATGGTCCCTGCCCGGCAGTCTCCACTGCTCTGGAAATGCAGACATATCGACAGCCTGTGCGCCGGGAGCAGGGCAGGCCCAGAGCGCCGGGACGTGTGGCCGTGGCAGGGGGGTGGGCGGAGAGAAGAGGAGATGCAGGCGGGGATCCCCAGGACACGGGGCGTGACGGCAAGTGCAGAGAACATCAGCAGTCCCATCTGGACAGAGTTAAGAAGTGGGTTTTGAGGGGGATGGGGCCGGGTGGTGTGAAGAGAAGAAATTGGAGGAGGAAGGTGGTCCAGTCATGGCCGGTGTCCCAGGCCGTGCGAGCCGCCCACGCTGTGTAAGGAGACCGTGGAGAGCTCGCGGGCTTGAGTGGTGCCCTGAGGTGCTGGTGCTTAGAAGGTTCTTGATGGTGTCGGGGGGGGGCACTGAAGGCTTCCCGGTGGGCATTTAGAAGAACCACAGCACGCCCCTGCCAAGGCCTCTGGACGGCGAGCTGGTCGGTCCCAGCGCTCCTGCTCCTTGCCACTGTGGCTGCTGGCTGGGTTTTGCACCCTTAACTTCCAGTGAAACGCGATTGTAATCGATAGGACCTGTTGAAGAACGTCCGACGTATCGCATGCAGAACAGTGTGAACTGTGTACCCTTCCTTTCACACGTGTGCGTTTGGAGCCCAGCGTGCCCGCTCTCCAGCCTCCCCACCCCATCTCCTCTCCTGGCCTGTGTCCTTTGAACTCACCTCTCACTTCCCCCTCATGGGAACAAGCCCTCTGTGGTCCCCCCTCCGTATCTGCGCTCACGCAGCTTCCTCCCCTGGAAGTGACCTTCTCTATCAGAGTGAACCCATCTTCCATTTCTCTTCCACTTGGAGTCCGTCCAAGTGCAGCCCTGAAGAGTCCAGCTTCCTGCTCTTACATCCAGGCTCTGCCACGTTTGGGTGAGGACGGCTTCCTTCGGCTTTGTGCCTCAGCCTTCCCTTCTGTAAAATTAGGGAAATAATGGTACCGCCTTGTAGGGCAGTTGTGAAGATCACAGGGTGCACCATTGAGGGTGTTCGCTGTTGTCATTTATGCCTGCAGGATTATTTGTGAATGTGTCTGGCTTCCTCTATTTGGAAACCGCCTAGGAGTCCAGAACTCTGTCCGGCATCCGGATTTCTCCCCTCTGTGTGGCCCGGTGCTGGGGAGACAGCGAACAGTCCGTCTACGCCTGTGAGCGGACGGGGGTCTCAGCCTTCCAACAAGGTGTAGAAACTGCAGGTGAACCACGCTGCAGGCAGAGGGGGGGCCCAAGACTGGGGAGCAGGTTGCCCTGCCACGGCCACGTGGCTTCCCACCAAGTGTGGGACGTGTCTTCAGGTGCTCGCTGCTCGCCGGGCCCGCAGGCAAACCGGCATCTGTGCGGCGCCCCTTCAGCCCGCCGGCAGGAAGTCCGACCCGGTTCGTTAGGCGCTTCCATGGCGCGTTCTGTCAGGGTTCTGTCTCTGGCGTGTCTTTCAGAAATCCGACGCCGAGGCTCTAAGGATCCGCTGGTGAAGGCTCTTCAGTTGCTCGACAGCCCCTGTGAGCCGGGCGAGAACAGCACAAAGACGGAGGCTGCGGCCAAGACACGCAGCTCCAGGGACCTCCTGGGGAAGGCCCCCCAGCTGTACGACACGCCCTACGAGCCTGTGGACGGGGCCCCCGACCGGAGGGCACGGCTGCCTGCGGAGGACGAGCGGCCGGCGGCCGAGTACGAGCAGCCGTGGGAGTGGAAGAAGGAGCAGATTACCCGGGCGCTGTCGGGTGAGGGCCCCGTGCGCGTGGAGCCCAGGCCAAGGCCCTCAGATCGCACCGCTCAGAAACCCCAGTCTGGTCACTGCCGTGCCTCCCAGCCGCTCCAGTGATCAGGCCGGGATCAGCTTTCACTAACCCAACTCGGTGCTACTCCTGACCCTGTTGAAATTCCTACCTCTCCGATGGCGGTCTGGGGTCCAGTGCATCACAGACAGAGGTGTCTGGGAGGCCTGGTGAAGCGTTCTTTGTTGGCCTCTTCCCGCCAGTAGCCCTCCCCCGGGAACCCATTCCTTAAGTGTGCGTGTGTGCGGTCACAGGAGGGGCAGTGGGTGGGAAAGGTGTTCCTGCTTCCGCTTCTCCCAGGACACGGTTTTTCTGCCCGGCTGAGCACAGAATCTTCTTCTCCTTCAATTTAAAAAAGCCAGGGATGTGTTTTCCCTCCACCAGTAAAGCCAAGTCGGTGATGAGCAGTGCAGGCCACATCAAGGGTGGGTGCAGAGGGTGAGGTACGTGACAGAGAACATTTGAGTCCATTTTGGTTTGGCTTAGTCCTGTTTTCCCAGCCCTCTGTTGGCGCCTGCTCTCCGGACGCCGAGCCGCGTGTGGCTCTGGAACGTCTGTTCCGTCCAGCCCAGATGCTGTAGCGTCTGCCGCTCAGTAGCTTCTGTTTCCAAGTGCATGTCTGTTTTATTATTTCATAGTAAAACCTGCTTGTTTGGTTTCATAGAATGAAAACGCTCTTGCATCTTTTATTCTAAATACACCAAAACTCAAAGTGTTTAGAAGTGCACGGTAAATGTGCCCTCGAGACCCCCCTCACCTTCTGAAACTATTGGACAGGAGAGCGTCTCCCTTGACAGTGGCCATCGGGGACCCTCGAGGTGCGACCCGCCAGCCGGGTATTGGCAGGCGTTTTAACCATCGTGAAGGGGGCAAGGAGGTTTGTGTCTGAAGCCCACACGGGTTGCCCCGTGAGCTCTGTGTTAGATGAGGCTTCTTTCCAGTTCAGTTTGAAGGCGCTGACCGGCCTTCCCTCAAGGAGGATGCGGTGAAGCAGCACCAACGGCAGAAGAGCCGGACGCAGAAGATCTCGAAGCCGGCCGTCGCGGACCACAGCGAGGGGGAGAAGGTGGACCCGGCCCTGCCGCTGGGGAAGCAGCCGTGAGTCTCATCCTCAAGGAACGAACAACGGCTAGGAGCCTGCTGATGGGGGGAGGGAGGCTCACCCATTTCACGGGATTATTTTTGTTCCTGAATTCTCATCTGGGTGGGGCTGATTAATGAAGACCTATTTTCAAAGCCCATTGCATTTGTGCAGAATAGAAAGTGCACTGCATCCCAAGAGCCTGATTTTACATTTCATTCTCCTGTAGCGACTGACCCTAGCCCTGTTAACCCCCTGTCTATGACTGATGGATTTCGTGACCCCGGATTACCCAAATCTGTATCTCGTCTCTTCTGAGCATGAAGCAGGGTCTAGATCAGGCTACTGACCTTCCGAGAGAAGTGTATTAAAGAGAATGCGTTTTGGAGTGAGGCCCCGTCTGATCTGTGTTTTGATGTGGGTGCCCCCACCCTTTACAGTTGGTATCACGGTGCCATCACCCGCGCGGAGGCCGAGAGCCGACTGCAGCCCTGCAGGGAAGCTGGTTATCTGGTTCGAAACAGCGAGTCGGGGAACAGCAAGTACTCTATCGCACTAAAGTGAGTACCGGAGCTGTGTGGGCTCCCCCGGGCGGCGCCGGCCCTTCCAGTCACGGGCAGAGGACTGCTCAGGAAAGATCTAATCTGAAGGTGGTTCGCAGGATACGGATTGCCAGAAAATAGGGGGCATTTGCTCGGACCACAGCATGTGAAATGCTCTGATCCGAACGCAGGGTCAGTACTAGGTAGATGCCCCCAGGTCTCCCAAGATGGTGAGGGCCTCTCTCGTCACGCGTGACGCAGCGTGTGCCGTCCATTGCCTGACCTAACGTAGGCCCTCCACGAGGCCCAGCAGAGAAATAATGCCTGACAAAAAGGAGAATTTCCAACGGGACAATTGGGCGGTTCTTTTATTCCCCAGTGTTTGGGACTTTAATAAATCAGATCTCTTGATGTCCAAATGCCACCTGCAACTTTGACACCAGTTTCTTCTGGGGAAGGAGGAGACGCTGACTTGTTGCTCCCTGCCTGATTGTACCAGAACATTCGTGTGTGTGTGCGGTGGGCCTGGTGGAGCTTGTGTCATGGAAATTCTCGCTGCTCTGCGGGTTCAGCGGTACTGTGTTGGAGGATCATTGTCAGAGCCCTAACAGCATTTCCTTCCTGAGGAAGCTGAGCCCCTGCAGCTGAAACAATCAGACTGGAGGGAAGAGAGGCTGGGGGTGTTTGAGCAACATGGCTTGGAAAGTGGGACTGGCCACCAGATACACAATACCAGGAATAGCTGTGCCGTGTTCCTGAAAGGGGGCTTGTGGATTAGTTCTTGAGCCTTTGGTACCAGCTGTCGTTATGCACAACCAGGAACAGTCTTTCCAGTTTGAGGGTGGGAAGGGAGGAAGGAGGAAACGGGGTTTTATTATTATTATTATTATTATTATTATTATTATATTCTTTGGGGAGGAAAGAAAGAGGAAACCGTATATATGTCCTTGTCCCATGACGAGGAGGGTGAGTTTAAACCTCACCCTAGTGGTCTCATACTTGGGTATAAGCACTAGTTGGTGATTTGGGAGACAGGAGAGATTGGGCTGTGTGTGTGTGTGTGTGTGTGTGTGTGTGTCTTTTTGGTCTAGTACCTGATGACTTGTGTGTTTTAAGGACAAACAACCCAAGGATGACCCACCTTGAGCCAAGGGCCTCAAAGCCTCTGACAGCCCCCTGGAGAGCAGGGAGCCTGATGCAGGACTCGATCCCAGGACACTGAGATCATGACCTGAGCCGAAGACAGATGCTTAACGCCTGAGCCTCCCAGGGGCCCCCAGGGTGCCCTTCTGTTCGAGTTTGTAGCCATTCCAGGGGTGGGTGAGAACCTGCCTGCCGGTGACTCTGGCTGGCATTGCTCTTGGGGGCAGGGATCCCTGCTCCCTCATTCACGTGTCCTGCTCAATCTCGTTTTGTTTCAGGACTAGTCAAGGGTGTGTCCATATCATAGTGGCCCAGACCAAAGACAACAAGTACACGCTCAACCAGACGAGTGCGGTCTTCGACAGCATCCCCGAGGTGGTACACTATTACTCCAACGAGAAGTTGCCCTTCAAGGGGGCAGAACACATGACCTTACTCTACCCCGTGCACAGCAAGGGGCACTAAGGTCCAGCCAGCAAGAGCCCTGGCCAGGCCCCTCCTCCTGAGCAGGCGTCTGCCCCTGACCAGCACTGGGGACAGGGCCGGACTGCCCACGGTAATCAGGAGGAAGTGGGAGTCTCCATCTAGAAGGCAAAATCTTTGGCCTGACGTACATTCCGCGACACTTGGTTACTGTCCTGTTGCTTTTCTACAATAAGAAATCATACTTTACCCGCTGCCTCCACTCTCCGGAGTAGGTGTTCTGTCTGGGGGTGACTCTCAGGAAAGGTAAGTCAGGAGTCCAGGAATATTAAGGTTTTCCAAAAATGCGCTAGGTATTACCTGGAATACCTGGTCTCTAAACAAACCAACAGAAATGCAGTTGGCTTTCATGTGAGGCAATGAGAAATGATCGTGTAGCCCAGAAGAACGTGTACCCTGGACCGACCCCCCGCCCCGGGAAAAGGACGAGGAGTGGAAATGGATGACTTGGAGAAAGTGTCCTGGTTCAGCTCTGGAGTCCATGAAAATTCACCACTCTGACGAGAGGATTTTGTCAGTCAGCCTTCTAAGAAAGTTTATGTTTTCTCAATCTCTGTGGACTTTTTCATCATCTTTAATATAAACATGAACAGGAAGGAAGATGCCCCTGATTTAAGAATCGGCAATATAAATTAAGCATCGGCATCATTATAATTCTGAATTGTAGAATAAAATAACGATTTCATTTCTGATTTTTTAAAAATCTGAAAAATTTGCAAAGCTCAACAACTGTTTTCTTATTGGGTAATTATTCAGAACTTATGATGTCTTTCGTTTCACCTTTGAGCATTTCAGCTGTTAGGGAACAATTTTTAATTTGTGTCCCCCAATTAGATTTGCTCTGTATTTTTGGAGTAAATTTTAAATATACATATCTCTATCCCTCGGAGTTGAGTGCCTGAACTGGGTCTCAAACCTGCAGTCTGTCTCGTGCAGAGTAGACCAGTTCTCACTGTACAAAACTGTCTTAAAAGACTGAGGTTTTTCCAACTACTACTGCTTCAGATATTAAATTAATATTAGTAGTATCGTTAGCTTCATGGTTTGTTGTGAACTTCGATTGCCAATTTACTTACTGTGAAAAAATAAATAAAACCCCACGAGAATGGCGTTCTGTGAGGAGCCCCCAGTGAGCGGCCTCTGTGCTCTGGGTTTGCCGGCGGCGCCCAGGATGGATCCAGATCCATCAATGAGAAGTTCACTGTTGTAGCTTCGGTTACAGACACAGAAAAGGTTGATTTAGTTAATTTTTAGGGAAGCCTGTCTTTCTAGTTATTAGTTACTGTTCTGCTATTATGATTTAGAGGTTAGTAAATACTTGCTTCTCTATTCAGTTAAGGCTGTAGGCAGAGGGTTGTGTGATCTATGATTTAAAAAATGTGAGAGGAACCTTTTCTTATTGAATCTCAACGATTTTATGAATAGAATGTCTGTTTTTTAAATACCGATAGAGCTTTTTAAATGTGCATTGGTTCATGGGTGACATCTTTAGTACAAGATTTTTACAAATTTTTAGCGTCTATAGTTCCAATTCCATTCAACAAATATTTATTATCTTCCATATACAAATAATTCATTTATTAAACTTATTTTTACTTCAACATTCTAGAAGTGAAATCTTATTTTTTACTTAAATTTATTCTACAAAATATAGCAGTTATCCTAATCTTAATCAATACTAAAAAGCTTTGTAAAATGTTTCTGTGCGCTCTGGATGATTTTTGGCCCATGCCCAGCAACTGTGATGAATGTATAATGAAATAGCATCCTGAGAGCAGACCTGATGCGTTAGGTATTTATTAAGCTTCCATCATATGCTCGGTATTGTGCTTTCTCTGCACTGTTTTTCCATGACAGTTATGTCATGTTCTTTGTGTGGCTGGAAGTGGAGATGTGGAGTTTGTATATGGTCCAGCTCCTTCACGCTATGCCGGGGGCTGTAGGAGGAAGGAACGTAGTAGACTGGAAGGGGGCTGAGCGGCTCTTTTCTTCCTAAGGCTGTGAGCCGGCCGACAATGGCAGAGGCTTCACCAGCAGCGGGCGCCCTGTGCTCGGAACACAAGCCAAGCAGGTGCCTTGGGGATGTCCCCAGTGGCTTCCCTGTGGGGCCTCCTGGGCCAGCTCATCTGAAGCCCTGTGACACCTTTCCTCTCGGAGCTCCCAATGCTTGGGCTTTTCGCCATTTTGTCTCGATACACGTATTTTCCCATAGTCTCCTTTCTTTTCAGTTCCCTCTGTCTCACAGAATCGTTTCGGGTTCCTCCTGAAGAGGAACTGTCCTCAAGCCGATGTGTGCCCCCTCGTCTGGAGTGTGGTGCCCTAGAGCTCCCTGCGTCCATGCTCCTTCTCCAGCACACCCTTTTTTAAAAAATGCTCCGCCCCGGCTCACTAGATGAATTTATTTAGTTGCTTCATTTCAGGCCTCTAGGACATTTCTATTTATTTGCTACCATAGCGGTTTCTGTCAGGATGGATTTCAACCAGGGGAGTTGTTGTAATATTTAAATAAGTAGGAATAAGGTAGTGGAGCAGTGTTACTATGTGTAATAAAGCAAAATACTGAGGGGCGCCTGGGTGGCTTAGTTGGTTGCGTCGGACTCTTAATTTCAGCTCAGGTCCTGATGTCAGGATGGTGAGATCGAGCTCGGTGGGGAGTCTGCTGGAGTTCCTCCTTCCCTCTCCCTTTGCCCCTCCCCCACTCGTGCTCTCTCTGTCTCTCTAAAATAAAATTTTTTTTAAAAGAAAATACGGATGTGCCTACTTTCTTTTGGGGAGAGAAGTGTCCTTCTAAGTTATCCAGAATTACTTCCTCAAGCATTTATGAAAAGAACCTTTATTCTTTGCTCAGTCGTTATTCATTTATTGGCCTCTGCCGTCAGATGGGGAGGTGGGCAGAAGTTTTTGGGACAGGTGGGGAAATATTCCTAATTTGTTAATTGGATTATTTAACTGCTCTTACCCTGTTAATGGCCATTGTTAGTGAGTAAATGTTCATACTTGATCCAGAAGAACTGAGCATCTGAGATACTCTTTGAACAAGGGTGGCCTTTCTGTTCCATTAACATGCGCTTTTTCAGTCAAAGGCAATGCCTCATTTTTCCACCAGGCTAGGGGGGAAACGAAGATGTCGGCGTTCCGTCTCCCCGCTCACACCCCTGTAGTAGTTGGCAAAACTGCTGTGTTGCTTTCTCACAGAGGTTGGCTCCCTCCTGTTCCATAATCCGCACTATTTTGGCCTTTTGTCTCTTTAGAATGTCACTCTTTATTCTGGTCTCCGACTCGTGTGCCCCATTAACTTGGAGACACTGGGCCTCCCTTCACCTCGATCGCCGACCCTGCGGGAAGGACGAGACGGTGCGTCGCTGCCACCTGGTGGGCACAGAGCGAGCCGCCCCGGGAATGCAGGCGCGCGGCGGGGAGGGTTCCCGGGCGCTTCTGGTACAGCCCACGGCGGCGGCGGCGGCGGCGTTGGGGGCGGGGATGCGCGGCAGTTGCCATCTTGAAACCCGGCCTTTCCTGCGGAGCCTGGCGTGCAGGCCCCTGGGCGGCGGGTCGTGCGGTCGTGTTTTAGCGAGCATGCCGGCAGCAGATCCTTGAGATCTTTTTGTCACGTTCCTAACCATTCAGTTATTTTGTTAGGGGCTTTAACATGTTAACTAATACCTACGTCTAACTTTTGAAGCTACCTGAAGATTGTACGGGATGCCAGCGCCCGTCTGCAGTGCCCTGGTAAATTATATCCGAGAGGTCGTACGGAACTTCAGGGTGCATGGCCACAGCCAGTCTACCCCACGCGCCCCGCGAAGATGGCTGGCTCCGAGAGGTAACTTCAGGTAAACGCCGTCCCAAGAAAACCAGGGTGCTCGCTCCGATTCGTGTTGAGCACCCCTCCCTTTGCATACGCTTCCGCTCTCCTGCGGCCGCCGCGCACCCAAGGAGGGACAAAACCACTGGACCCACCAGAGCTCGCGTCACGCGGCTTCTTCCCAGTCGGACGTGGCCCCGGGAAGCTTCGCCCTCGGGTCCTTGGCGTCTTCCCGAGCGGAGAGCGAGCGGAGAGCTGTTATCCTCGGTAGCCGCCTGCGTCCTGCGCTGAAGGTCGGCCTTCTTTCCTTGGTTATTCATACAGACGCCCCGTCCCACCCGTGGGACTTGATGCTTTCGTCCGTCGTGAAGCTTGAAATCTATAATTTTTAAAACTTCTGCCAGGTGATTTTGATACCCAGCCACAGCTGAGCACCACCAATGGAAGCTACCATTTAGAAAAACGCAAAGGGCGCCTGGGTGGCTCAGTCCTTAAGCGTCTGCCTTCGGCTCAGGTCATGGTCCCAGGGTCCTGGGATCGAGCCCCGCATCGGGCTCCCTGCTCGGCGGGAAGCCTGCTTCTCCCTCTCCCACTCCCCCTGCTTGTGTTCCCTCTCGCTGTGTCTCTCTCTGTCAAATAAATAAATAAAATCTTTAAAAAAAAGAAAAACGCAAATACATTCATTTGAGGTTCTAGAAGCTTCTAGAAGGGTTAGGAATGTTCGACGCGCCCCCCCCCCCCCCCCCGGCAACCAGAGCAACGGTTTTCGGAGTCCGGGTGGCACACGTGTTTGTAAGATCCCAGGGTTCGGCGGCTGTCGTGTGTTGTCAGATCCCTACCCTGTGGAAGGTCGAGGTGTGAGCAATGAGGCTAGACCCTCACCACCACCTGTGCTGCTTAAACAGATGCTCCCATACAGTATCTGTCTGCAATCCTCCTTAACCTCGTCAGCCAGGCAGCAGCCTCATTTTCGGATCAGGACGCTTGGAAGAGCCTAATACCTTGTCCTGGGTCCGTCATGGAGTGCGTGCCGGAGTGCAGACCACAGTCTCCTGCTCCTTCCTGGTGAAACTGGAGCCCTGTAGAATCCCGTGTGTGAAGAACACAATCAAACCAGTGGGACGAGGTTGTTAAACTAGCCACTTGGCTTTAATTAACAAATGAAAGATAAAGTTTAAAAAAAAAAAAAGACACAATAGCCGAGAAGTGGAAGCAAACCAAGTGCCCACAGACGGACGGACAGAGAAAGCCAGAGTGCCGACCACGCAGAAGGGAGCATCCGCCTCAAAGGAGGGAAATC